CAAACGGCCATCACATGTCCTGGTTTATTACAAAAATCACAAATTGGCCTGCCATCGAAAAATTGCCTCCCGTGCTGGAGGCGTTGAAACGCGAATCGCGCGACCGACGTAGTTCCTGGCGTTCTGATTTGTCTGGAAATTTGGAGTCGTTTAAATTTCCGCTCTGATTTGGATTGGCTTGAAAATTACCATAAGCTGCGAGCAGAGGTGTTAACGTATCAGCAGTGGTTTTCTGCAATTGAGCTAGCGTACGCAAAATTTTACCCGTCCGATCAGCGGATTCCTTTTTAGGCAGTGATTCCGTTAGCTTAGCATGCATCTAACTGTCAAATGTTACCCTCGAAAAATAAAGTCTTACCTACCTACCTACCTACCTACCTACCTACCATCTCAGCGTCTTCAATAGTGTCGGGCCTTTCTAGGAGACCATAAGTTTTGATATTGGGTTGTAATTAAACCCTGGATAAAATAATTAACACACTCCGACCGCGGTAAATTTATTCGTCGACAAAGGCGACGAATTTGAGCTGCAAATATTCTAACCATTTTGGACGATAATTGTTTGGTGTCATTTAATCTTTGCTTGAGTAGCCAAACAGTGGAATTGTTTTTTAAGAGCTTCCGAAAGAATGTCAGAAGATTGACCCTTCAACTCGGGTGTAGTATCGAACCATATGCTAGCACTGCCATTTAAAAACAATGGAAAAGCCTCGGCCTTCCTTTCAGGGCTTTAATGATAAAAAGCCGCGGTACAGTTGAAGTTTGTTAAAAATTCATTAACGTCTTCGTGGGCGTCACCCGAAAATTTCGGCATAGGGAGGCTATTGTTGCTAGGAAACATGGGCATGACATGTAATTTTTGGAAGGCTTTAGAAAGCGTGGAAATTTGCTCCGCCCAATTTTCTGTAAATTCCCTATTTTGCCGAGTTAAAAGTTTCTCGAGATATTCCATATTCATCGTGATTTCGTCAGAAAAATCCAAATGAGAATTAACTTGAGATAAGTCAAAAGTAACTGAACTCTGGGCCGAACTATGAGATAGTTCAAAACCTGGCGATGACGGAGGTGTTAACGAAAATTCAAACTCGTTGCTCTTATTTTGGCGGCAAAATTTGAGTCCAATGTGGAAGTTTAACAGTGCTGGCGGATCTTGATACAACTTTCACGGCCCTTGATGGTCAGCGCGACAATCTTCATTCGCAAGGCGTTCAAGGAGCTACAGACGCATAGCCTGTTTCTTAACAAATGGAAGCTTTACAACGAACAATGTCACTTGTGTCAGCGCCCTCACACAGCACCAGAACTTTGTTTTCCAGAAACTGTCATGTCTCATCCCCAGCAAGAAACCCTGCAACTACTCTTGGATGGCGACCTCTGGTTCACCTGGATTTTCGACCACCGACAACACGAGGTCTTTTCCATATGCCGTTATTTTCTTATTAATCAAGACTACATATTCCCGACGTTCTACCGTTCCCTACACTCGACCTACACAAGGGACGACGCTTATGGATATCTGGAACTCATATACGAAATGGCAAAGGCAGAATACGACGTTCTTGCGTGACGTCTCCTCGACTACTATAACACTGAAGCATTCACAAGCCTCTCTTGTTCCCCATTCGGTGTTATTCCGTTCCACGACATTATCATCTTTCTTGCCTCGTGCGCGTTCCACCTCCGAGTCTTTGTCCAAGAAACGCCGTTTTCATGCCTCTGCCATTTGGCATTCTCCTTAAGTAAGGTTTCTGTTATTTTTTTTAGATATTCTCGTTGTGCGGCACGTATGGAGAACTACCCACAGTTCATATAGGCCTCGTTAACATATAACAGAGACCCTGATTTCTCTCGAATAATCTGTTTTCACAAATATTGCAAAGTGTGGATCTTTCTCTAGTTGTATATATTTCATTTGTTAGTCATATTCCATTTTATGCCATGTTATGGAACATTTCCTTTTGATGTGTATTTGCGTGTCCTCGTGTGTAACCAAAAAACAATTTAAAATTTCAAAAACCACAAAAGAAAAAACCGTTTTATACAGTGTTGCCACCTTCAAATTTTCTTTCCTCTGAGTCACCGGAGGCGACACTGCTGAAAGGCAAGGATAATATGTTGGCACACAATTTTATATATCTATATTCTCATTTATATTCCCGAATTTCAATTGATTTGCACTCGTTTTAACATTCCCAAATCTTAATTGATTGATATCCTGTGAGAAATTTTATTCGAGTAACTAGGATGTGTTCCTACGATTTATTTAACATGATTTTGTAGTTTACTAAACTGAAAAACGTGATCTGTGTTGTTTTCATTAATACCAGTTTGTTACCAAGCAACGTACACGTGCCAGAACCAACGTGCACGTGCCAGAACGTACAGTTGATTTAAGTACACGTACTTTTTGGTAAATTAACATATGTTGTGTAAGTTGGAAAAGTTTCTCGTGGGAACTTTTCCACACACTTATCCCTTCTTCTGTTTGTTTTCTTGCGGAGTTTACGCACTCCAGATTGATTTTAGTGGAAATTGTAAAGAACTATTGTTCTGTACAATCCAGGAACATTAATTAGTTCACTTTTCCATTTTCGCCCGATGCTTGAGTAATAGTCTGGTAATCCTCTTAGGTTGTTAACATTTGTAATTTTAAGGTTTCTACTTCAGCGTAATTGATAGCTGGACTCTTCTGGTCTTTTGACCAAGACGAACTGTGGAGCATTTGATTCCATACAACTTAACGAACAATGGACCACTTTAATTAGTTTAGTTCGATACTGGAAAATATTTAAAAAGTTACTCCAGCTACCTTTGTTCTGTTGAAACGTTGTTATGAAAACAGATCACGGTTATAAAATGTAACCCGTCCAGTCTCTGCAATGTTAGTGATTGGTATGGAAGGAAACCGAAATTCAAGTTCACCTTTGCCAACCTTTTCAGTGAACCGTCCAGTTTGAAAGTTATATAGGTTTTTCTTAGCTAAACCAGGAACATGGTTCAGGCAGATTAAAGAACACCGCCGTTACTAGGTTCGGGCTAGAATTCCAAAACAGCTGAGGTTAACCAATCACAAGAAGACGCATGGTTCACCTTAACCAATCACAGACTGATTGTAGACCAGGAACGTGCTTTATTATAGCATCTTTTAATTCGTAAGCTTCACTTAGTGGTCTGAAGCCAGCCAAACCACAGTGATTAAAGAGTGTTGTGACGAAAATTGAAAAGTCGACTTTCCTTGTTGAAGTCCTCCCAGAGCTCTGAAATCTGTGTCGCAACAAAGCTCTCATGTTCAAGTTTTGTTCGGCGAAAGCGTTTAATGCACCCTGCGAGCAGAGCCTCTTTTATTACTGTAAGAAAAGGCTCTGCTTGCAGGGTGCAAACTATGCTTAAAATCTTTGCCTTTACTATTGTTCGTGCTAGAAGCGGTTAATAGTCGTACAATGGTCAAATCTAAGCAACTTAATCAATTTTTTTTTCTCGTCCTAAACAAGTTGCTCATTTTTGTTTTACTCCTGTCAAACCTGCTATAAAATAAAAAGCTCTACATCCAGGTTAAACAGTAAGCTGTCCATCGACATAACATGGGAGATATCTGCCTTTCGATTTACAGTAAATTTATGTGTCTCAAAAGCATCCTGGAAGTACACTACAACTTTTTGCTCGTTCATGACCAAGACTTTTGTTTCAGCGAAGTATTCGACATAGAACGTGAGTAAAAAGATAGCTCTTTAGGTGGTATCAATGGTTTTTGGTGAAAGATTAATATTATGGTAAGCTGGAAGGAAGGATGATGAGAAGTCCTTTGATCCGCCATATTGACTCCCCTTCGGAGCTGACCGAAACCGACTCCCACAATAAAATTTACCGGAACTTTAAAACATCCATTTCGTAGTTAGGACCACAAAGCAAGAGTACATACAAAATTTCAGCCAAATCAGTGAGGTACCGTGGCCGCGACCTCTTAATATTACTCGAATCTTACAAAGTGTGACTCTTGACTATCTATTTTAGATAAGATATCGAATTGAAACTTATTCTGGCCGATACGCCAGCAAGAACAGTGGAACTATTGGATCAAAACATGAACAATGGAACACTTTAATCAAGTTGTTTACGTGTGATTATGGTGGAGTCTATTCAGACACCCTTTGCGCTAAGCTTTGTTGAATAAGATGATTAATCAAAACAGGTCTAGCCTCTTCCACGCTTCAGTTAGTTGGGGCGCAGCGCGAAAAATGGAGCGCCGGTTTTCGCACTAGCCCCCGCACTCGGGCCATGCTTGTTTTGAACTTGTCGGATATCGAAAACAAAAAAATACACAGCTTATGACCGTTTCTATTGAAACGGTCCGTATGGCGAAATCCCGACCAAGAAAGAACCAATCAGAACGTTCGGATTTACCTCAAGACTACCTTGCCGTATAATAATGTAATTTATTATATTTGATAAGTCATATTTCTTATTAAATGCGACTTGACATTAGAAAATAAGATCGATGTATGAGTAATCGGTGCACCTCTTTGCAGTTACACAGTTCGCTACAAATCCAGACAAAAGGCCTTAAGTATTTTTTTCAGTAAATGTAACGAAATACTCAAGAAAGGTATTCAATTAAATTGCATACTTTTCTTTCAGCTCGTTTCATGAAAAGCGGAGACTGGGACATTCAAAACATCACAGCTAAACTATCAGAAACTGACCATGGCGACTGCTACCCGTTTAACTTCAGTGAGGTTGTATACGCCCTGCAGATGAAACGCAAATCACTGTATTTTGTCGTATTTTTATTCGATCGTTGAACGCGCAGATAGAATCACAAGAGAACTGGACGCAAACGCAAAACATAAGACTTGCCTGGGTAGGGGGTGGGGACCGAGAAAAATATTATTCTATTCTTTTTGCTCGCTTTGCTCGCAAACCCCCGCGTGCTTCTCGCTCGCTCCGGTCGCTTTTTATTTCGCACACGTAAATAGAGAGGCTGTGAACAGTCTATTAGAGCGCTAGTCCACTTCGCCAACATTTTCGTTCTGAGGGTTTACTTTACGAAAGGAACGCCTCCAAACTGGATTGGAAAACTCTGTGACTTCTGCAGCATAAAGAAGAGTAAAAGTGCAACATATTCTTTAATCCGGTTTCACTGCGCAGTTTGCATCTATGGCGCACGCCTGAAATGGTTGCTCCCAGAGTTAATGTTTGCGCTATGCGACGACCAGCAAGGAGTGGCAAGGGATGCTAAGGGTCGAGGCACCAGGATCTGGTCCCCGTAGCGAGTTGGGGACCCGAGAGAGGGGGTAGGTGCTTGGACGGTTGCTATAGAAACCGCTACCACAGCGAGGTCCTTTGCACCTAGTCACACCGAGAAAAACCGGCGGAGTAAGAGGTGAGGAAACTGGGAGAAAAAAAAAGGATGGGAGGGAGGGACGAAAAAGCACAAGAAAACCCGGCGAACGACAGTTACGCGTACAGAACCAAACGCGGAGACGAACGTACCAGGCGAAACGACCCCCGACGGAGCTTATGGCGCGAGTGACGTTGAAACGAGCCGAGGCCTGGACCTTGCTTCGCTAAATATCAATTTCTGCCAACAAACTTGACACTAGTAAATTAATAATTTAATTTTTGTAGCGCTTCGGGTGGCCGGAAATGTCATCTGATGACAATCATAGGCAGGCCCATAGGACGCCTACGGCTCGTAAAATTTGTGGCGTTTTCGCCACTTCTTTTAAGGTGGTATGGTACCCTCAATATGGACC